TCGCGTACTTTTTTGGATACTTTTTCTATGAGAGCGAATTCTCAGAAATTAAGTTACTGGAGAGTTTCTGGCAAGTTACTGGATAATTTGTAAACAAACACATCTAATGTAGGCAATTATGTATGCAGAGTCGTTTATGTTGCCACAAGAAGCAACTAAAATTGCTGTTAGCACTTACATTTGTATATGCATATTTATGTATGTATGTATATAATTACGCATCCCAGCAAAACCAGCGTGACCAAAACTCCAACATAAACGCAAATTTTATGGTGTTACTAACACACCTGTACTAATTTTAGATTGGAGCGCCATCTACCCAATACACATAATAGGAGCGTTCCTTATCTCCCAGAAATAGTCAGAAAAAGTCCGAAGTAGTCAAATTTAGTCCAAAAAGCGTTCCTTAACTCGGAAATGACAGCAAAAATGAGAGAGCAACACTCGGTGAGAATGACTCTCATCAATCCGAAATAGTCAGAAGAATTTTTTCTGGAAAAATCCTGAAAAGTGTCAAACTCAACTGAATTTAAATTTACGGAAATTAAAGAATACGCAAAAAGTGAGAATAATCTAAAAAGTAAAAAAAGTGAATTGAAATTGGAAGGAGGCAAAAAATAATTGACATAGTAAGTGTTTATTGTGCTTGTGCTTGTGTGAATGTGTTTTGTGCATACATTTCCATTCTTATTTGACGTTAGCTTTGTTGTTGCAATTCTTTGGACTAAAAATTTGGTTTTTTGCGTTCCTTTACTTTTCCTGTTATTCTGTTTTAGTGAGCGCATTTTGCTTACGCTCTGGCATTTTGACACTTTTCAGATTTTAGTCCAAAAAGATAAGGAATGAACCTAATGACTTGAGAATAATATTTTTAAAAGCTTACAAATATAAGCGTTAAGCTTGAAAAATCCTTGAGAATCTATTAAAAAGGACAACAATTGTAGAAAAATCAAAACGGAACCTTTGTGATAATATTAATAGTGCAAGATTTCTATAAGGTTTTAAAATAAATTGTAGGATAATATTACTTGTAAGGTTTTGCCACAATTGTAAGGTAATATTACTATTTGTAAGCTTTTACAAACCATTGTACACTGAAAGAAAAGACGGGATGTTATTATTCACCATTTTATAACGTAAATTTTTAATTCATTTTCTTCTATAAATTTAAGGAAATTAAAATGTGTTTCATTTTAGTTTTCAATTCATAGGAGAAACATTTCTTGATTGTAAAGTATATATAAAATTAAGCACATTTATTTAAAGTTTTTTCACGTCTTTTGTAATTTCCACGTAGTTTAGTGCGATTTTTGGCAAATTGAAAGAAAATTCTAGTATCCTTTATTATTTGATCTTCACCAATACCGCATGATATAGCCGCATCTGTGAAATATAAAATTTCAGTTATAATTTTTGTAAATTTGTTAACATATGTATTTTTTTAATTCTTATTCGAATAGCTTTTGTTGTACTAAGATTGCGTACACTTTTTTTCGTTTCCGCCCCTTTCCAGCACAACTGTGGCAAAACTTCATCTATCAAAATTTTTTTCCAACAGTTTCTTACAAAGCTCGGTGCTTTGGCAACCACTGCAAATTCCGTCTCCTGATTCAAAAAAATAAAAAGGAAAGCATAAGTACATAAATAAATATATGTAGGTACTGCATACATGAAACCATTGCACATAGAAATACTTACAAAAGAAGAAAAAACTACGCCATTCCTTTGTAGAGTAGCTTCAAATGATAAGAATTGCTTTATTTCTTCAAAAGGTTGTGAAGGCATTACGAGGAGCTTAATTTTCGGGTTTTCTGCCCTAAACTCCTGCACCTCCTTGTGCAAACTTTGCACTTTATTAATCAACCTCAAGATCAACGGTTCGATTGCTTTAGCTACTTGGTTTGCTATTTCTGAAAAAAAAAATAAAGAAATAAAAAATTACACGGTGTTATGAAATAAAAAAAATACACGAACTGTTAAAGTGACCTTGTACCGGTCATAGAGCTGGCTGAGTAATTCACGAAACTGTTTTTAAAATTTTTCTAAGACCCTCAAATTCTGAACTTATTCTTAAAAAACAATTTCGCATGTTTTCCGGCACTAAAAAATTTTTCCTCTGTTATTTTTTAACTAATTTTAGGTTTTTGTATGGCTTTAGAAAGAAAAATATTTGCACTTTTTAAAAAAATAATAAGTTTGGTGAGCACATTGTAAATATGTTCAACTTTTATGGAACAAATCTAAAATTTAAAAACATGTTTATTATCTTTCCACTTCTACAACATTTTTTGCCAAAATTTAAAAATAAAATGGTCTCTTTCAGTCATGACTTTGAAAATAATGTTTAATTCCGAGTAAAACTAGCTACCATTCATAAAAATCAATAAATAAAATGGTTTTTCAAGAAAGGGTTTTTAAGAATTGTTGAGGGTCTTAGAAAAATGTTAAACGCATCCCTATGACTTGTATAAGGTCACTTAAAAAGTTCATGATTAGTGTAAAACTGGGTTCTTCTTCAACAAAACAAAAACCTTTTTCATCAATGTTCCAACGTTATTATAACGTTTCTTGGTTTTTGAAGGCGTTATTATATATGTCATTAAAGTTATTATTCATAGTGTATAACGGGGAAAAAACTTATTTTATTATTTTCAGAGAGATAAACTAATTTTGTTATTTCGTTTTAGCTATGTTTGTAAGCTGTTTCTGAAAAAGATAAGTTTGTTGATTGCCATATATTAAGGAGAGAAGATTCCAGTGGGTAATGAAATATTGGTTGTAAATTAAGTACTCTTCTTCCAATTACTTGTACCACTCTTTGACAATCAAACGATGCAACTTTGAAAACTTCTTTTCCATTAGTATAAAAATTATTTGGAGCTGAGATTGATAAATACATATTTTCGTTCTGCACAAAAGTGTTGCGGGTTTTTTTTTCAAATTCGCAGGCTCTTTTAAAGTAAAATTTCTTTGCTCCACTAATCGGTTATATAATGGTATATGATTTTTTTTTCTGAACAACCTCTTAAATTTTCCCTACTTATTTTCAAATTTAAACGCACTAAATCCCTCCAATGAGCTGTACAATAAAGCGTCACTTGCTAAGGGAGTTAGGCAGTGGAAGGTGTATGTTAACATGGTTTCATCGTAATTTACTGGAATATTTTCAACAAAATTTGTTAACCTCACGTCAGCGCAGTGATTATGTGTTTTGGATGTTTTTTCACCTAACAAAAGGCGTATCGCTAAACTTAGTTGTAAAGCCTTTCATCCAAAATATTTTTTAAAACAAAGGGCCCTGTGTAAAGGAGGAACTGACGAAGTTCTGTTGCTTTGTATCGATCGAACTCTTTTAAACCTCGTGGTCTTCTACAAATCTCTCGTGGCGTTTGTCGTCTAAGCTGCTTAAGTTTTTTATCCAATAAATCGATTTGCATTGGCTGCAGTGAAAATGATTTTTTTGTTTTTATCCATGCTGTGATCAAGGTTCTAACAACGCCAAGACATACTACGTGCATGTAGTCAAAGGGAAATGATTTCACTATGTCTCCTGGCAGCCTTTCAATTGACATACGGGTATTTGTCGTATGGTGATTAGTATGTTGTCGTGCTCTGAAGCTTTCATCTGACCGCAGAGTGTTATTTTCGAGCTTAAAAATCATGCGCTTGTTTACGTATGTACTTTCCATTTTGTTTGCATTTGTGGCAACAACTGTAACCAGTATGACTTTTGATACCCATAACCAGCGTTGCCAGGTGGACGTTTTTAACGTCATTTGGACGTTTTTTGTATCCTCTTGACGTTTGGACGTTGTTTGTGTAAAAAATGACGTTTTTTAACTTCCCAGTAATTTTTCTTTGTTACTAAATCTTATAAGTAGGACTTATTTTTAATTATTTTATTAATAAATCTTTACAATCTTTGTGTTTTGCTGCCGCTGCTTCAAAAGATTTTTTTTTTTTTTGATTCTTGGCCTAAGGATCGCATGTTAAAAGGTTGGTTGTGTAAACACTTGAGGTTACGAGGCTTGCTGTAATGTCTGCAATTGCACATTAATAGCCAAATCAGGAAGAGCCGATCTATTGCAGCAGGCCCGCTCGCAAAAGCATCAAAAAAGCTGTGCAGCATAAAACGTCAAAAAAAGGAGGAGAATTTTTTAAGACTTCATTGAAAATGTAATGAACGCAAAAAATACTGAAATATTAGGACCATTCAATAACTTTTTCAATAAGTACTTGCAGCGAGAGCGGAAAAGAAAAATAGATAGTAAAATTGAGAGCAAGAGAAAATCTTCAGAATAAGTTATTGAACGGAAAACTAGTAAAAACTTGCAACTCGCAAAACTTGCGAAATTTTCTTTTTAATTTGGAAAAGTTCCCATCGTCATAAAAACAAAAAAAATATACAATAGATTTAAATTTTTCATCCATATTTTCATTTCA